GCCTTTCCCCTTTGCTGAGCTTACTTCCTGTAAAATACTTTTGTACTTTGGTCTCTGTTTGGAGCAGTCAGCTGAGGACAAAGGGAGAAAGTGGGAAGAGGACATTTTAAAAGCAGATGAAATAGTATCATAGGATTATTTGGCATAGTCTCTACCAAATCCTTATGAATAGTTCATGGTCCACAAAGAGACCCTGGAGGTTTATATGCGTGACCGCATCTCCATCTACGAACCCACACATTCACTACGTTCATCTGGGGAGGCCCTGCTCGTGATCCCACCTACGTCGCAAGCGCGCTTGGTGGGGACACGGGACAGGGCCTTTTCTGTGGCGGCCCCCCGACTTTGGAACGCCCTCCCAAAAGATCTTCGACAGGCCCCTACTCTGGCAGTTTTCAGAAAGAACCTAAAAACCTGGCTGTTCCGTTGTGCCTTCTCAGACTAGGAATTCCCCATCACCAAGCCCTAGATGCACTTTAGTAGAACAAGATCGCTGCACACCGCACTTATCTAATCCTACGTTCCTCCTGCCATCTCAGCACTTTTAACCTTGTACCCATTGCTCTGGCCGGCCCAGTTTTAAAGTGTCCGACGTATTGTTACTGTTGTTGTTACTGCTTAATTATTTGATTTGCTTTGTTTTATTATTGTGTTATTTCTATTGTATTGTGTTTTGAGGCTTCGGCCCGTGTAAGCCGCATCGAGTTCTTCGGGAGATGCTAGCGGGGTACAAATAAAGTTAATAATAATAATAATAATAATATGGTCTATAGCAGACATGGGCAAACTTCGGCCCTTCAGGTGCTTTGGATTTCAACTCCCAGAAATCCCAGCCAGTTTACCGGCTGTTAGGAATTGTGGGAGTTGACGTCCAAAGCACATGGAAGGTCAAAGTTTGACCAAACTTGATGATTAAGCCTTTTAACCCTTCATCTAAGTCATCTATAAATATGTTGAACAGGACCGGGCCCAAGACGGGACCCTGCTTATGGCACACAACTCGGCACTTCTTTCCAGGATGAAGAGGAAGCATTTTTTTTTGCTTCATAATTTTTATTGATGAATAGCATAAAAGACATTGAACACTGAACAAAATTTTTGTACACATGAATGTTTAAAATATCCTATACATACCTATATAACACACCAAACAGCCCTTTTCCTTTATAAAGCAACGCAGCTGAGAACTGCGTATCTGGAGGCGATTGGGGTCAACTGTAGGGGTGACGCAGATATCTGAAGTGGCTTGGGATTGTGTAATAGCTGGCCTATTTTAACCTTCATTTTAACCTTCGTTTTTAATTTTTGTGGTATGAAATTTTATCTTGACATTTTAATGATAATATTTTAGTCATCTTTTAACCTAATGTGTGTTGGTTCGCTGTTGTGGGGGTCTTGGGATGGTGATTGTTGTCTGTTTGTGCACGTGTCTGTTTTTTGTTTTTAATGTTGATGCAGTCAATAGACTATTCAATAAACTTTGCTTTGTGCTATACATACCTATACATTGATATTAGTTTTTAGAATAGCGAAAGTAGGTGAACATCATAAAGAGAGAATATAAAGATTAGAATGAAAACAGTAAAAGAAAGGGCAATACAACAACCATCTCAAAACTCACCTGATAAACATACATTTATCCGTTTTTCCTTGTCACTTCCAGATCGCTTCTAGTGGTATTATTTAATTCTTTTTCCTAATATTCCTGATATACCTGCCACCTTGTGTGTGTTTTAAGTCTTAATCGAGATAATTCTTTATTCTGCTTTTATAATCATTTGTATTTGTTCTTTTTTTTTAGAAATGTAATAAATTTACTCCTTCTGTGTTCGTTCGCTTAACCAATTATAGATCCAATTAACTGTAGTTTTGCCTAGCTCACATTGGACTTGTTTGTTTGCCAGAAGGTCATGGGAGACCTTGTCAAAAGCTTTACTGATACGCTACATCCACGGCATTTCCTGCATCTACCCAGCTTGTACCCCTACTTTCTCTTCCAAAAAGAGAAAATGCTCAAGGAAGCGACTAATTTTTTCCCAAGAAAACATCAATAAACAGCATGAAAAACAATCCAATGAAATTTGATTTACTAAAAGTATGTTGGAAAAGTATTGTTGTAGGACACCGTGAAACATTGGTAATGTGGCAATCCACAACATTTCCAAATTTCATATTTCAGGCCAAACATTCCACCTCTATGGTTTCAAACGGGAACTCAACAGCCCACACCAGATAAATCTGGAAACTGCATTAAATTCCATATTCATCAGCCTTATACCGTTCTGAATAAAAGTCATTTTCCCCAGTCTTTGCAACCAATTATTTCTTATCCTGCTTACATGTTTCTACCAGTTGCAAATAAGCAAACACATTAAGATCTATAACCTCACTTGAGAAGCATCTCTCTTGACTTAAAACGTGGAGCTCTTAATAAACAGCCACTTCCCTTCTGAGAAAAGGAAGGCGACCCACTGAGTTCTCATCAGCAAAGGGCACAGATTGTGGCTGAGTCCGTGGGCAGCACCCAGCCAACGCTGCCTCGCTAATCTTGCTTGTTCCCTTTGATTATATATATTCTTAAATGACAACTGGTTCCTCAGCAGGAAAATAACAAAGCCTCTGGAGTTCTTTGCTCATTAGGAAAACAGTCTGTCTTGTAACAAAGGGTTGTTGTGAGTTCCCTGAACAACTTGTTTGCTCTTAACTGATGGAAGTGTATCTGGATGGCACAGCAGGGGTATTCTGACTAAGAGCCCCTTGTTGCTATATTTAGAATCTGTGGCCTTAAAGGCTAAAATGAGACCCGTTAAATGATTCCGGACAAAAAGAGGAGGGAGAGCATTGGGAGGGGAATGCACATTATCCTGAATGCCTCGAGACCTGTGGCCAAATTTTGATTCCGAAGAATCCCATTAATCTTATTGATTTCCTATGTGAAGTTTTTTTTAAGCCAAACAAACAGCACTGGGGATATATTTGCACTATAGAATTCATGAAGTTTGATACCACTTTGACTGGCGTGGCTCAATACTTTGGGTTCCTTGAAGTTCTAGTTTTAGAAGATCAGTAGTGCTCCTGAGTTCCCATGGCAAGTTTCAAGCTGCATTCATTCAACATTTAGGTGATCTCTGAATCTTTGGAAAATTTTGTTGTTGTTAGGTTCTTGTGGGGTTTTTTCGGGCTATAGGGCCATGTTCTAGAGGCATTTCTCCTGACGTTTCGCCTGCATCTATGGCAAGCATCCTCAGAGGTAGTGAGGTCTGTTGGAAAGTAGGAAAATGGGTTTATATATCTGTGGAATGACTGGGGTGGGGCAAGGAGCTCTTCTCTGCTGAAGCTAGGTGTGAATGTTTCAGCTGACCACCTTCATTAGCATTTGAAGGCCTGGCTGAGCCTGGGAAAATGTTTTGTTGAGAGGTGTTAAGATGTGCCTGGTTGTTTCCTCTCTGCTGTTTTGCTGTTGTAATTTTAGAGTTTTTTAATACTGGTAGCCAGATTTTGTTCATTTTCATGGTCTCCTCCTTTCTGTTGAAATTGTCCACATGCTTATGGATTTCAGTGGCTTCTCTGTGTAGTCTGACATGGTGGTTGTTGGAGTGGTCCAGCATTTCTGTGTTCTCAAATAAAATGCTGTGTCCAGGCTGATTCATCAGGTGCTCTGCTATGTCTGATTTCTCTGGCTGAAGTAGTCTGCAGTGCCTTTCATGTTCCTTGATTCGTGTTTGGGCAATGCTGCGTTTGGTGGTCCCTATGTAGACTTGTCCACAGCTGCATGGTATACGGTAGACTCCTGCAGAGGTGAGAGGATCCCTCTTGTCCTTTGCTGAACATAGCATTTGTTGGATTTTCTTGTATTTAAAAACTCTAAAAAACTCTAAAAGCAAAGAAGGTGGGGAAGAAAGCCTTTTGGAAGCAAGGCTTTTGGTGGCGAGGGAGGCAGGGGGAAGGGAACAGAAAAGAGGAGGGAAAGCTTGGAGGGGGAGGAGGGAGGAGGAGGAGGGAACTGCATGGTCTTCGTGGACCACACTTTGAGAACTGCTGCCTTAGATTAAATGTCATCACAGATATTTAACGTATTAAATAATTTGATCCTTAAGTATTTAAGCCTTAGGTTTTGCCTGAAGTCGGCATTTCCACATTAACTTTTACCTTTAATTGCTCCCACCTAAAAGGCAGTCTGTGCATGTTCAGTCTTGTCTGATCACGAAAGTATAACAGTATATACAATGGCGTAGTAAAATATAAAGTAGCCAAATCAAGGGTTGAATTTTTAAGCCATGGATGATTCAATTTGGGGGCACAGAATCTGTGAATATAGAGGACTGATGGTATCTTCTTAATAGGAAGCATAGGACCTGTCATGAAGTGTTCTTACTATTGGAATCTGGTGGGATCATAATCACTGATTTGTACTGCATGACTGCATGGAGCACCGTTAACTTCCGGCTGGGGTAGACCTATTGATCTACTCACATTTGCAAGTTTTCGAACTGCTAGGTTGGCAGAAGCTGCGCCTAACAGCAGGAGCTCACCCTGCTCCCGGGTTCAAACCGCAAATCTTTCGGTCAGCAAGATCAGCAGCTCAGTGGTTTAACCCGCTGCGCCACCAGGGGACATAGTAGTATACCGCAATACTTGTTTTTTGATACAACGGAATTCATGTAGCTATTGTCTGTCCTTCTGGAAGGTCTTATTGAACATGTGTAAAAATTTAGTCAAGTGTATGGTTAGCAGGGCTTGATCCATTATATAAATCCAGTCACAATCCAGTCAAATTTATTGTTTTTGGACTTCATCTCCAAGGATGAATGCTGATTGGAAGGAAATTGCAGTTCAAACCAACTGACGGCTCCCCATCCCTCAAATAGGATAGCTAGAAAATAGAACTTGAAAATGTTGCAGTTTTCGCCTTGAATTCAATTCTAGCTGGTCTTCACTCATGCTTCAGCCTTGATTTTAGTGATCCTTGCTTATATGTATTTTCACTCTGACATCCACAGCTTGAAGTTCTAATGGTGGAGATGCAGGATCCAAAATCTGGCATCAAAATGCAAACTCAGAAGGTCACGGTCTGCGACATCCCACATGCTATGTTTGGTAAGTCTTGACAGTCAGAAGCATTTGAAAACAATGCCTGCTAACTAATCTCCTTTACATAACCTTATCTAATATTCATAACCATTTTATCTCTCTCTTCGATATTGGGAGGGCACTCGAAATAATCAAATCTTGGAGACATCTTCGGGTCAATTGCCACCCTGACACTGTGAAGAAAATAAGTTACAGTTGGGATTCTGCTCCCAATAAACAGAGCAAATGTATGCTTTAAAATCTTGTGCATTATGCATGCTAATGCAAACAGTTCTGCTGGTCGTCCAGGGTCATATAGTGGTTTGAGCACTGACTATGACTCTAGAAATTATGGTTTGATTTCTTGCTTGGCCATGGAAACCTACTACATGACCTTGAGTGAGTCATACACTCTCAATTCTAGAAAAATCCCATGATTTATGGTCAACAACAAAAGTAATTATTTTTTCTCACATGCATTTCTGAGCTAAAGCATCATCAAAAGAGTCAGAGTCTTCTTTGTCCTCTTCAGATCAACGAGGTAATTCTAGAATCTGGATGTAATGGTTTGTCAGGGGGACTCTTCAGAGTGATACTGAGGAAGTCAAAGAACCAGCTCTTTCACGTTTGGAAACTGCTGTTCATCTGTCCTGAATTGCTCTGTCCAAAATTGCTCACCTGGTGGCACCGCTGCCATGAAATATCACAAGGCAAAATATGCAGACCTGAACAGTTTGGGACCCGCCTATCTACGTGACCGTATTTCTGTATACGAACCCACACGATCTCTTCGATCATCTGGAGAGGCCCTGCTCGCACTCCCACCTGCATCGCAAGCGCGATTGGTGGGGACGAGAGAGAGGGCCTTCTCGATAGTGGCCCCTCAACTCTGGAACTCACTCCCCAAGGACATCAGGCAGGCCCCAACTCTGGCAGTTTTCAGGAGGAGTTTGAAAACATGGTTGTTCCAGTGTGCCTTCCCAGAATAATGAATCTTCAGCACTTTGTCCTCTAAAGCACTTTATATCAATTTAGGTCTGTTCATATGTCTCCACTATGCCCACTTCCTTATCTCGTTCATGACCAGCATCATTTTAAATTTTTAATTACATTTAGCCCAGCCATCGTTTTTAAAGTGTTCTGTATTATTGTCAATTATTTATTATTTATTTATTTATTTACCTTACTTCTATACCGCTGTTCTCAGCCCGAAGGCGACTCACAGCGGTTCACAACAAATACGAACAGCAAAAATTCAGTGCTACAGTATAGAAACAGTTAACAACCTAACACATTACACAATTAATAAACAGTTACTACAATACCCATTCACTGTTGTCTCGTCATCAAAAACATGTTCCAGATTCGTCATCCATTGTTCCATTCCAGTGTTCATTAACCAATCATTGCACTAATTATTCGAACGCCTGCTCAAACAGCCAGGTCTTCACTTTTTTGCGGAATACCATTAGAGATGGTGCTAGTCTAATGTCCGTAGGAAGGGCGTTCCACAGCCGAGGAGCCACCACCGAGAAGGCCCTATCTCTCATCCCCGCCAGCCGAGCTTATGTTATTGTCTATGTGATTTATTTTAAATGCATGTATTGTTATTGTTATTGCTTGTATTGTTGTATTGTGTGCTCGGCCTCATGTAAGCCGCAACGAGTCCCTTGGGGAGATGGTAGCAGGGTACAAATAAAGTATTATTATTATTATTATATTAGTAAATCTGTAGATTACAGCTTTCCTTCCCTATAAGGTATTGCACGGGCTTGTCATGATGGTCTGCAGCAATAATCCTACTCTCCTCTGGTGTCTGCCAACTAAATTTATTGAAGGCAGACCTCCAAAGCACACTATAAACCCGTGTTTCTCAACCTTCCTAATTCCGTGACCCCTTAATATGGTTGCTCATGTTGTGGTGACCCCCAACCATCAGTTTGGTTGTGATTGGTGTATGTACAGTGGGCCCTTGGTATCCATTTAGTTTTGGTTCTAGGACCAAAAATCTGTGAATGTCAAAATCCATGAATGCTCAGATCCCATTATATACAGTGGAACAGTAAAATGGTGAACAATGAGACCTGGAGAGATCTTGAAGATCTGAGAATGTGCGTGACAAAATCAAGGGTTGCTTTTTGGATTTCCCCCCAGATATTTTCAAAATGTGGTTGGTTGACTTTATGGATGCATAACCCATGGATATGGAAAGGCTGGCTGTATGCTTTTAGAATATGCATCTTGATCATGACTATAAGGCCTTTCCCGGTTAGTGTTTTAGCTAGCTTCCAGGAAACGAGGGTTTCAGCTAGAGATTATCTCTCTAAGAATAGCAAGAGAAGATACAACTGTTGTGCCTTGTCTTTGTCAGTCTTCTCACTGCTGTGACCGACACAATATTGCTTTTATCTGTGTCAGGCAGAAGAGGAAGTAGTAGACTCAGTTATGTTGTGCAACATCTGCATTCTGTCTTGGTGTGCTGTTGGGCAAAATTAAGCAATCATCCTGTCTCACATACATGAAAATTTATGAGGAAGGAGACAGTTGGACCTAAATGCTAATTGTAATCTGAATTAGAAGAGTTCAATTGATTTAATAGGATGCATGTATCTGTTTGCATATAGTTAAACAACTGATTTAATGCATCAACTCTAGTTGAGAAGCTGTTGGATTTGAGCCGCTGTAATTTCCCCTTTCCATCCACATTTTGCATCATTTTTCTTCACCACAAAAATCTGCTAATCAGGGAAAGACAAAATACAGTAGCTGAATAATGTCTTTTTATTAATTGTACATTACTAGAAGTTTTGAAAGTTACTTTTTGCAAGGGATTCATTTTCATTATTGTAGTACACTGCAATTTCCCTTGACGTCTTCAAAGAAAAAAACCATGTAGTTTTGCTTGTAAAATGCCTCTCAAAACATCTTTCTACAAAACCCTTTAGGAGTAGCTACTAAAAACTTTTAAAAGTCACTCATTACACCAATAATGGTAAAGTTATCCCTATGTGTTATATTATTTTGAGATGTGATATACTCTAGTTACAAAAAAAAATGAGGCTACTGTAGATAACTGCATTACTTGTAGCTTATCATTTTGTTATGGTGGCAGAAAGAGGCCCATATTCCCTTCATAACTAGTCACTTACAATGCTTAATGAAAAAAACAAGAATATAGATTTACCTTATATTCTCTTTTATAAATCTAGAAGTTTTATTTAAAAAAAATCAAACAAAAAAACAAAAACAAAACTGGACCAACTTTTCCTCTGGTCAGTTTGGGAACGTTACCTTAATTCTTATGAAAAAGAGACAATTCCCTGCTCTGCATAAAATGGTAAAAGGCAAGAACTCAGTCTGCCCCAAGAGAACCTAAAAGAAGTCCTGAGGTGCTGTAATGTCTTTGACATGGCACCACTTCTGGCCTTTTTGAATGCCTGAGCAGGGAAATAGTGGCCACAGCTAAAGGCAGATGTCTTTTTGTGGTTGCATTTGTGCATTCCCTTCTCTGCAGAATGACCCAAAACTTATGCACAGGTGTTATCAAAATCTATCATTTTGGTGTCCAAACCTGGACTTATACATGAATACATATGATCCATGTTATAGATCATCATAGACTGACATGATTCCAAATCAACACCTGTAAATAGACTGGGAAGAGAAATGTGCCTGTGTGTCAGGATTTTGTGGGTTGAGCAGCTTCTACTGAGTTTGATCAATCGAGATATCCATCCATGATTGCCGTACAGCAAGATATAGCAACCCCACCCCCTACCTTGCCCCAAAATACAATAACTTTTAAAACTCACAGGCTTCTTCATCAGCTTGGATGTTGAAGTATGATAATGGAGGTTCACAGAGCTGCATTTTTCTTGAGATGTTTTTCCTAAGTTTAAGGGCGCTTTGGCGAAGGTAAATGATAAGAGGCATTTTGGACCGTAAAAGCATGGCAAGGCAAGAAGCTTTTTCGCCATTGATAGAAACAAAGTCAGTTAATTTGTGGCAAAATGTAATGAGTTCCTTGAGATACTTGTACGGATACCTTTGGAGACAAATTTAGGTCAGTCATTGCGAATTTCAAATTGTTTTACCTCATCTGGAGGTAAAGCAAAGTTTAGGATTCCCTTCGTGGGGTGGAATATGGTATTTTCAGATCCAAAAATATCTCAGAATAGCCATATTGGCAATTGATTGAAGTGAATGTCCAACATTTGGTAAGTATCAACATTAGCTGATATCAAGGTGATTTTTATGGATGTCTTAAAATTTGGAGATATACCAGTGAATGTTGATAGTTATCTTAATATGATTCCTACAATTCAGTAGTGTATGTCTGAAAACAAGGAAGTGTATATCTTTCAGGAACTTCATAAAATGCATTTAATGCTTGAAAAAGTTGTATCCTGACCATTGGCTTCAAATTTCAGGGCACTTCAGAATAATACTAAAATCATCTGGGGTTGCCAATATTAACACTGAAATGCCAAAGCTTTGAAAGTTACTGTTTTGGACTGTAACATCCAGAGTCCTCCAGACATCACTATCAGTGGGCATAGTGGCTGGGGGATTTGGGGAACCGCAGTCCAAAAAAAGTTATTTTACCAAGCAGTTCAATATTCACTGAACTTTGAACACTTGTGGCATATATTAAGTCAACATCGCTTCTGACCTGGTCCGGGATTGTGGCGCAGCTGGCTGAGTGTCAGCTGCATCAAGATCACTGACCAAAAAAGGTCATGAGTTCGAAGCCAGCCCAGGTTGGAGTGGGTTTCCAACCAATTGTGTAGCCTGTTGTCGACCTTTGCAACCTGAAAGACAGTTGCATCTGTCAAGTAGGAAAATTAGGTACCACCTTAAAGTGTGGGGAGGCTAAATTAACTAATTTACGAGGCCATAAAAAGACTCCAGCAAAAGCATGCAGGGAATGCAGAAGTACTTCATCAGCGTTGCAGATGGACGATGAAAGCGACAGCTCACCTGGCGGCCAGAAAAAGTTAAATAGCCTCTGTGTATGTCTGTATATG